CTTTGCCTCCTTTCTACCTATCTTTGTTTCTTCTGTCCCACCTCATTCCGCCTCCCCAGATTTTAATTCTTTATTCTTAAGGGGTGCAGTGGGCTAAGGGTCCGTCTTCTTACAACTGCTTCAGGCTGGGGAACAGCTTCTGGGGTGGAACTGACTCTGCCTACCTAGAGATCAGAAGTCTCACTCTGACTGACTTAAAGGAGAAAAAGCAAGATGGGCTTTATTGATGAACCATTATCCTCTGATAGTCTTACAGGTCTTCCTCCCCAGGAGTCAGGGTTAGCTTCCCACACTGCTTCCTTCCCTTCTCTGCATTGTGTTCAGTTTCTCAAATTTCTCTGTAGCTTCTAGTTTTCCTGTCGGCTTGGCGTGGAGTGGCATGCCTTGGCTTAGTCCTTCCCTTCTCTTTCCTTTTCTTTTGAGACAGGCTCTCGCTATATAATTTAGGCTAGTCCTAAGCTCAACATGTAGTCCAGGATGGTCTTGAACTCATGGCAATCTTCCTGGTTCAGTTTCCCAAGTGCTGGAATTACAGGTGTGTACCATCATGCCCGCCTCCTGTTGACTTTCTTGATTCCCAGTGATTTCTTTCTTTCTTATTTCACTAAGTTGTTGTTTTCCAAGTGTCTCAATTCCAAGTCCTGTATTTTGCTGCAGGTCTTTCCTCCCAACATTTTTAATCTCTCTTACTGCTCTATACAACATACTTTACAATGATTCTCTGAAAGCACTCTGAAGCGCTACACTAACTCAGGCCTTCTGGAGATCCTCCTTTATGTTCCCACTGGGGACAATCACTATAAAGAAATGTGGGATGCCAAGATGTACACTATAGCCTCTGCAAATCTGGCTTCAGGCATGCCCCAGATGTGGACCATCTGGGAAGAGCGTTTACAAAAAGTAAAAAAACCTGGTATGGTGGTGCACACCTGTAGTTCCAACTACTGGGGAAACAGAGGCAGGAGGATTTCTTGAGTCCAAGAGTTTTGTGATCAGCCTGGGCAATATAGAGAAACCCCATCTCTATATAAATTAAGTAAATAAATAAGGAGAAATATTTTTTCTAATAATCCTGTGTTCTCAAGAAAGTAATGCAGGTTTCAGGTAACAAAAGACTGGAAGCCACTGGTATTCCTCTGAGCAACCTAATGAGCTCTAGAAAGGTCAAGACAACGCCTTGAGCTGAAAGTCTGGCAGTGAAGGCTAGAGAGGCTGCACTGCTCTTTACTACAGGAGAGTTTAGGGTGCCCCAATTATAACCACTAAGGTTGGAGAGGGCAGGAGCCGAAATGAGTTGGAAGAGGGGAAAGACAATTTGACCACAATGTGGCCAGAGGCTGAGATGTTACTGTCAGGAAGTTCAGCCAGTGTGAAATCTGAGAGTGAGCGCTAAGGGCTTCCTGGGTCTCCTCCCCAGTACCAACAGGGTGGGGTAATGACACATGCCATAACATGAGTGAGCCTTGAAACGTCTTGTTAAGTCAAAAAAGCCACCTCCAAGAATGTCATTTACTATACGATTCCATTTATATGAAATGTCCACAGAGAAACAGAAAATGGGTTTAGAAAAAAGGGGTCCAGGATGTGAGGTTTCAATGGGTCTGGGATTTCCATCTGGGGTAATGAATCTGTTCTAAAACTTAGGTGGTGGTGATGGCTGCACAACACTGTGAAGGTGTCACTGAGTTGTTTATGCCACGTTTGTATTTCCATAATTAAAAGCAAAGCCAGGTACCATATGCCTATAATTCCAATCTCAGCTACTCAGGAAGATAGCCTGGGCAACACAGGGAGACCCATCTAAGAAACAAACAAAAAAAAATAGTTGGGCATGGTGGTGCACACCTGTGATCCCAGCTCTTGGGAGGCTGAAGGAGGAGGACCACAAGTTTGAGCCTAGTCTAGACAACTTAGACTCTGTCTCAAAATAAAATGAAAAGGGCTGGGGAAATATAGCTCAGTGGTAGAGCCCCTGTCTAGTATGCCCAAGGCCCTGGGTTTAATCCCCAGTACTAAAACAACAGCCTCTGCCTTTGGGATAAAGGCAGCTATTTAAACATTGTCAGAGTTTCTAGCTTCTGCAAGGGAAACAAAGAAACAAGAAAAAAACTGCTTACCTGAGAGTCCCGTTCTCTCCTTTGTCCAGGCTGGTGAATCGGCTGTAGAGGCGAGTGATCTGACTGTGGGAAACTAAAGAGGGCACAATTAGTCCTAGCCAGGCAAGGAGGCCTCCATTCACACTGCACTCAACCCACTGTCAAGTGCTTCTGGGCATGTGACACGGGGAGGTGTTGCTACTCTCAGTCATCTCCACACTGTCAAAGCACAAAGCTTAAATGTTGAAGCACACGGGATATAGCTCAGCGGCACAAGCGCCTGCCTGCCAAGTGCAAGGACCTGAGTTCGATCCCCAGTACCAAAAAAAAAAAAAAAAAAGTTGTAGCACAGAAGGCGTTAGAAAAATCAAGAGCAAGCAAAACTGGCTCTCAGGAATGATGTCTAGGCTTAATCAAAAATGTGTCAGGAGCCTGGGATATAGCTCAGTTGTAGTGTGTGCGTTTGACATGAGCAAGGCACTGGGTTTGACCCTCCCCAAATGTGATAAATGTCAGATGGTTAATATTTAACAAATCCAAATTTAGTTTAAAAAGAAATTGTGAGATGCCAAGTTAGAGGCTATGAAAATGCATGCTTTGACTAAAAACTCATATTTATTAAATCAGCTTGTGTTTCAGGAATTGCTGGTTAGATAACCTGAACTGAATTAAAGACTGGTAAACAGCGAACAGATTCTATAATGAAAATCCAGTTATGTCTGCACTAAACATTGGTGGCTTTATCTCTCCCCTTACAACTAACCTTAGGGATAAAAGATACCACATCCTGGTATCGGCCTCTTTGCTACAACTGCATGAGCTCCACTGAATTCCCAAGAAAGGAACTGGCTCCGAGGAAGCAAATTAGGCAATTTATAAAGTGGTCACGCTATCACTGGATGACATTTGCAAGAAAATGATTTTACTCTTTTTTTTTTTTTTGGTACTGAGAATTGAACTTGCACTGTACCACTGAGCTGTATCTCCAGCATTTTTACTCTTCCATTTGGATTACCTCTGTAAATGTAGGCACAAGTTGACAATTAAAATGAGCTAATACTTGCAGGTGTCCAACAAAACTTTTTTTTTTTTTGCCCCGGTCCTGGGAATTGAACTCACGACCTTGCGCTTGCGGGGGCTGGCGCTGTGCCGCTGAGCTAAATCCCCAGCCCCATCCAATAAAACTTTAAAGAAGAAAAACAAAGCATTTCTGGGAATAAATTTAGTTTCTTGGCACTTTAGAAAGAGGGGGATCCCCCCACCGCAAAAAAAAAAAAAAACTGAGAGAGCTGGGTGTAGAGGTGCATGCCTGTAATCCCAGCACTTGAGAGGCTGAGGTAGGAGAATTGTGGCAAGTTTGAGGCCAGCTTAGGCTACATAGTGAGTTCAAGACCAGCCTGAACTACACAGCAAGACCCTGTCTCTCTCTCTTACACACACATACTCTGGAGAATGGTCATAGGCGAAAAGATCATTGCCAGAAAGGGTAGTGAGATAAATTTGGACTTTGTCGTAGGTTGCACTTTCAAGGGTGGCAGAAGTAGTCCCAGTAGTTGTACTCCCCTCTGAGCTCACACAACAAAACTGGACTCCAAGTGTTAGAACAATGGAACAAAGCAAACAAAGGCTGGGGGCGGGGCAGGAAGTGAATGGCCCAGAGCTGGGATGAGAGAACACACTAGGAGGGCACTGTGACAGCTGTAGTATTAGGTTTCACCCTTGAAGAGGTGCTCTGTTCTGCAGTAGGGCTCTAGGGTGAGCGGAGAACAGAGAGCAGAGAGAGAGAGAGAAGAATCATTCCCAGCCAGGGCAGAGCAGCAGGGGTCCAGCCACGAAGGAAGGAGAGGCAGATTGTTTTGCCAGCGAGGCAGGTGTGAAGAGCTCTCTGTGAAGAGTACACACTTTGGTGAAGGTTGGAGACACAGATTCTGACTCCACTCATAACACCATTGCTTACCAGTCAAGCACTAAGTAAAAGGGGTTGTGTGCAAAAGATGAAAGGAAAGTCGGGCGTGGCGCACGCCTGTAATCCCAGCACTCAGGAGGCTGAGGCAGGAGGATCATTGCAAGTTCAAGGCCAGCTTGGGCTACAAAGTGAGCTCAAGGCCTGCTTGAACTGCATGGTGAGACCCTGTCTCAAAAAAACAAACAAAGGGGCTGGGGATTTAGCTCAGCGGCAAAGCGCCTGCCTGGCAAGCGCAAGGTCGTGAGTTCAGTTCCCGGTACCGGAGAAAAACAAACAAAAACAACAACAACAAAAAAAAAAAACAAACAAAAAGACAGGAAAATGTTGGCCTGGCACTGCAGGTTAGTTACCTCATCATCCTGACAAGGTGAACCTGAAGGTACGGTTTCACTGCAATGCTAATTACTCTCCCCTTTCCTCTTCTCTCTGCCAGCCACAACCCTGTGCTTTGAGAACCTGACCAGTTTACCCTGGTTTGGCCTCAGGCCTCAAAAGCTACACTTGCACTAAAGTTCCCTGCAATTTAGCAAAAATAAGCCAGTTAAAGAATTACTACTAAGTTTCCCCAAAGATTTTTTGAAAAAACAGTATTTGTTTACAGTCCCAACACTGTTGTTTTCATTTGTTTATACCATGTAACACCAGTCATCTGCATATCTACACTGCTGTAATAGCTTACTTTTCATTTGGTAACTCTACTTTTTTTGTATTATCTTGGACTCCTTTTTAATAACTACATAACATTTAGTTCACTGGATCAGACTTTAGTGTTTGGAGTATTATATACAGTGGTACCTTGCTTCATGAACTCAACTCTTTCTACGATTCTGTATTTCAGATTATTTTCCTTAAGAAAAGCCATCAAACTGTATTTCTTTTTATATTCACCTGATGCCATGCACATGATAGAAATCCAAATGTACAAAAGAATACACAATGAACACTTTCCCTAATACTCTAATTCGCCATTTTCCTAGAGCAGTGGTGGCAAACCTATGGCACTCCTGCCACAGAGGGCTGTTTGTATCATTTAAAGCTCTAAAAGGTTCACCATTACTGCCCTAGGCCATAGGCAAACAGCATTACCAGTTGCTTTTCAGTCCCTCTAGAAATTCCCCAAATATATATATATATATATATATGGCAATTTACACAGCTATATATATATATATATACACATATACATATATAGCAATTTATACAACTTTGAAGCTGATAGGAATGTTATGATGTAGTCCTAGCCCAATGCTGTCAAGTAAATGACTATTAGGCATCTTTTTAATCTAGTTCATCATCCAAAAAAATGGACCACAGAAACCTGATAGTATGACTTTTTAAAACTCCTTTAGTAAGTACTAGTGTAGCTTTATACCCTTTTTGTTGTGGGGGGATGGAATCCATTTATGGATGTTTGAATTCATAATTTACTGTGTTCACAAAAAAATATGTACATAGGCACTCCAAGCGATTATGGAGCTGTTGTCTTTCAGGATAAACTTGGCTATATGGGAATCAGTAGAGAAATGTATAACCAAGTATCTTTTTTGGGGGACAGGGTGGGGGTACAGAGTTGAAACTCAGGGCCTTGAGCACTATTAGGCAAGTGCTCTACCCCAGAGCCACAACTCCAGCCCCAGATGTCAGCTTTTATCACTACTCAATATGGTCATATCTGAACCTATCTCCTACAGTTCACAACTAATGTTGTAATATCCCTTAAAAAGGCCTTTGTAACAAGAAGGAGAGAAAGCTAATCTAGGTGCTAAATTCACCGTGACAAAGAATATTAAGCAAGCTCTAAGGCAGTGGTGGTAAACCTATGGCATGCCTGCTGCACCAGGCTGTTTATATCCTTAAACGCTCTAAAGGGTTCATCATCACTGCCCAGACTGTCCTCAAAACTTGTGGGTTTAAGGGATCCTGCTGCCTCAGCCTCCCTCTCTCCTTCCCTCCTTCCCTCTTCCTTCCCTTCCTCCCTTCCTGCCTTCCTCCCTTCCTTTCTTCAAGGTCTTGCTTTGTAATACAGGATGGCCTTAAACTCACTATATAGCCCAGGCTGACATAGAACTCACAATGATCCCCCTCTTTCAGCTTCCCTACTGCTGAGATTGCAGGCGTGTGCCACCACGCCTGGCAGCCCAATGCACTTTTAAAGGAGGTACAAACCTATGTACAGAAAGATTTTAGAACTGCATGAATGAGGCAGGATATGTTTCCAGTAAGTCATTCTCATTAGAAGGCACTATGCTAGCGAGACACGGTGCCCCAAACCTCATTCTTGGTAATCCAAAGAAGCCTCAGGAGTTGCCAGTCACTCTCAGAAAAGACTGCACATAGACATGTTTTGAATGAAGCTACAGTTTCCACTGATGAGCAAACAATTATTTTTTATTATTGAAGATTATTTAAAAGATCCTGCTAATTTCTCTGACTACAGACCTTTTCTATCATCATTGTCTATGCTCAGAGCAGGAAAGCACTTCACAGAAGTGCCAAATAGCAAGGCAGAACGAAAGAGGTAAAAATGAAATGGAAAAGGGAACCAGGTGTGGGGGCACATGCCTATAACCCCAGCACTTAAATAGAAAAGCGCTGCTCAGTGCAAAGGCCCTGGGCTCAACTGCCAGCCAGTGGGGTAGGGGAGACAGAAGGGTATGAAATGAAGAGTAGTTATTTTGCCCTTGTTTTTATCTTAAATCTTTTTTTGTCTGTTTGAGACAGGGTTTCACTATGCAGTTCAGGATGGCCTTGAATTCAGTGTGATCCTTCAGCCTCAGCCTCCAGAGTGCTGAGATTACAGGTGCAGGCCACCACATCCATCCTATCCTAAATCTTAACACAAAATATAACCAAGGTAAAGCACAGGAGGACAGGCAAGGGTGACACTACTGCACAGTTAAAGCTTGTACTCCTAATCATTTCTCCTCAACACTCCATACCAAGTACTTCCCCTGATGGCAGGGCTTCAAGACATATTTTATAAAGCAAACAAACAAGATCTATTTTCTTACAATTGGGGAAATACGTTACAGAATTATTGTCAGTGTTCTTAGGTGTGATAAGTGTTGTGGTTATATAACAGTAAATCCTTTTCTAAGGAGATGCACACAGAAGTATTTAGGGGTAAT